AATAAGTGTGAACATTTTCTCTGTTCGTATTTTTATAGTTTCATATTTCACCCTTAGTTTCATAATTGATTAAGAATTGTAACATTCTATTATCTAGTCACTATGCGACAGTAATTTTGTTTTCTCTATCCCTCCACACACAATTCACTCACATACCTACAAGGATTGACGACTGAGACTATACTGACTTCTGAGATTTTGTTTTAGTTATTATCGCCTTTATTGTTATCCCGTAATTCATATACCTGAATTCAATTTACCATATTGGTTTCAAATGACTATGCTGAATAACTTATAAACGTAATCGTAAAGCCTGACGAAAAGTTTCCGAAATTCGTATTCGCTTCAAACTATGTTTTTAAGTATCAAAATGGGAATATTTATATAAATCAATTGTTTACTTGGTAATACGGTGAATTAAGTTTGTCATAGAATCAATTCAGGCATTTTACGTCATTACAGTTATGCAGTGTATCGGAACTTAGATTCTAATTATAATTGAAAAATGTCCTACGATGTGTTGGTTTTGTAGAAAGGCACAGTATAATGTCAATGCGTCATTAGTTTTATGTGCAAAATCATCAGGATTAAAAGAATGTGCTATTTAGTATGTCATCCCCAATTTAGTGGCAGCTTAACAAGGTAGGTGGTAGCTCAGCGAGATGAATTCTCTCATATTTGAAATTATCGCAGTTAAAATCTGTTTCTCAGCATAATCTAGCAACCAATAAGTTAAAAGGTACATTGCGATTCTTTGATGTATATGAACTTGAGACGAACAAAAGTATAGTAAAGTCATATCGAAGGACAATCTAGTATCCAACATGCACAATTCATTGAAATATCTGACCAACAAAGATATAATGTTAGATTTATCAATCTTGCGATAATTATGCCAATCTACTGTATGGAATATTCGTACTTGTATATCATGTATATACTACATTAGATCGATATTAACTTGATATGCGTAACATTTTTTCGGGGCACTGCAATCTGCGTTTTAAAGTAATCTCACTTATTAATTGACAGTCTCTATCATGTACCACCTAAACTTGACTCAGGTATGTTGGCGTCGGGTGGTTGTAGAGAATCCTTCGAACAAGGGAATGTGAGATATTCGTCATCTGTTCCCAGGTGCGAAGGAATACTACACCCAACGTTTTGTGGTCAGTGTGATAGTGCCAGAGGTGATACAGATTATCTTCCGACCAGAATAAGAAATCATGTCATCCATACATTTTTAAGTACTCACACAACTAACTGGATACTTGGACTCAATTACTTCTACCGGTTCACCTTCAAGAGTGAGTGCTAGCATGGTTTCTTATCACAGGAATTAGTGGAGATTGACATACTTCGTGGTAGCATATAGGAAATGGATCTAAAAAGTTTACGAAAGTAAAAGAGTTGGGAGCGAACAAACAAAAATCAATAAACGACTCGAATTCCGATGAGGACAAGGTCATATGTCTGTGTCAACATGACGGAGAGCGAAAACATAGTCCGTACATAAACAATATTTAGGGATACCTATCTAGTTAAGAATAGTTTCTCAAAAGGATTTCACCTTGCGATGGAGCAGTAGGCCAGCTAAGTCTCCAACTTTCACAGTAATCGAGGGACATTAACCTGCCCCACAAACTGCCTGACTAACTCATTGTTTGTTGCTACCCGTGACTCGGATGCACCGAAACATCTTCCAGTCGGTTCTATCCCATTGGTGCGTTCTATTCATTGAACCTTATGGTTCTGGTGCAAACGATCTTAGTTTTTCTTGTACGGGAACTGCGCAGACTATCGTATTTATTATTCACCCGCAGAAGACTGATAGGCAATAAGAGCTTGGATAGACCCTTTGAACGCTTTACAAAGCCTTAAATGACATTAGCATTTCCGTGGTGTCTTTTCACTGAAAATGATGCTTATCTGCGCTTTCCGGAAGATCAGTAGCTGGTCTTCGGCGCAGAGTAGATTTTTTAAAAATTTAGCTACTATGCTAGGGAATCAGTAAACTTCAGTTCTTTTCAGATTTTGATGATCATGAAGGAATACAGTGAGAATAGCAGACACTAGAGGATTACAATAGTTAGGCCGGGTGCTCCAGAAGCAGTGGGGATTACGCATACACCCGTGTCATCGGTAGGTTGTTGTATTATGATATTTTCCACTCTAAAACTAGGTCAAATATAACAAAACGGTTATGTTTATACCATCATCATCATTATCAACATAGGACCAGGCATTACTGCGTAATGGTCCGAGTTGCCACACCTCATATCAGCACATCAAGTAGAAAGGTAGTGAAGTGGAGGATGAAGATAAGTGAATGCAGTCAAAAGAAATATAAAGTACGAGAAGAAGGGAAAGAGGAGTGACAAAATGGTGAGATTCGGTATAGTGTAGTTAAGATGAGGATAATGTGTGTATACATCTGCGCCACTGACATCGGTTCTGAGCCACATCATCTAGAGTCTCCAACCATTGGTTCCTCTTGTCCCGTGGACCCCAACCACCTAGTCTGCATCGTCCTACATGGCTTAAACCAACAGCCAAAGACTTTATACATCGGTGCCATGTTTTAGTCTAGCCACCTCGGGCCTTTTTCCAGCCTGGACCCACCTCAGCCAACATTGTGTGACGAGGCAATCGGTGACTAGGCATACGTAGTACGTGTCCTAACCATCTCAGTCGATGAAGGTTCACAACCTCGTTAACTGACTTGCCTCTCCTCCCCAAAACTCTGCATTACTCACATGGTGACACCACGGAATACGTCCTATACTATACCACGAAGGCAGCGGTGGTCAAACATCTGAAGCCTTTTTATATCCTCCACTTTCAATGGCCATGTTTCACAGCCATACAGTAGAACAGAGCGAACTGCTGTGCAATACACGCGACCCTTAATAGACAAACGAATATCACGGCGGCGCCATAGGTGGCGCAAATTGGCAGAAGTCAATCGAGCTTTTTGTATCCGTGCAGAGATCTCATCGGCAACTAACCCACCAGGGTTGATCCTACTTCCCAGGTAAGTGAAGTGGTCAACACACTCAACCACTTCACTCTCTATTGTTAGCCGCGGTACCGCTGAAGACCAGTCCTGGAGCAAAAATTTGCATTTGGGTGGTGAAAATCGCATCCCAAACATTCTCAAATTCCCACTCAAAGTGTTCAGAAGGCTCTGCATCTTGTCAGCGTCTTCACCTAACAGGACTATGTCATCTGCATATATTCTAGATCTGAAGAAAATTCACCTTTGATCGGGTCAACTTTTGTGTAATTAGGTGACGAGAGGGAAACCTCCACAAGAATATCTATGATAAAATTAAATAAGAATGGAGATAGTGGGCATCCTTGACAGACACCACTCAATGCGTATAGCTCCCTGGACAACTCACCATAGGCTCTAACATGCCCACAAGTGTTCGAGTAGAGAGCTTTCAATAACGTGATGTACTTACTCGGCACGCCTTTCAATGACAGACATTGCCATAAGAATTCTCGATCAACGGAGTCGAATGCCGCCTTCAGGTCGAGAAATACAGCTATTGTCGGGCGTCTGTAGCTGTATACCGGTTAGAGATAGGCTGTGGTCTTTATAAGCTTGAGGCAATTACTTGTTAGCACCATCCTTTGTTACATCTGTGCTGCCACCTATCGAATCACAGGCAAATATGACGAAGATTCTAAACTTCTCTTCCCAAATTCTCTTCTAGAATAACCCTATTAATTCACAAATGACGTAGTACAAACAAGTTGGGCAGTACAGCTCTAGCTCTCAGATGATGTACAGTTTTATCCATTAGGATGTGAGACACGCTTACTTTGGGTTTTTCGTGGTGCTGTATAAATGCCCAAACCTCGGTGGATGGGGCAAGGTTTCATCACGACCCACCATTTCAACTAACAGTTTAGACCAATGAGCCACAATCCCACAAAGTTTAGGGTTGCTGCTATCAGAATACCCCCGAATAAGCGCACATGAAACACTATTCGAGTTCATAGATGGAAAAGTGGGCAATACTTGCCCTCAGTTATATCAGGATATGACGGAAGAGGTGGTTGATCACTATGTTCTTAAGTCTATGGTAGGGGCACATGATTTAGTTTAAACTAACTGTTCTTGAGGTTAAGGGATAAATAATCTAGCGTATAATTGGTACTCGGTATTTTGATTGGTTGGAGGTATACACCTCAAAATTTCTCTGCCAGAGAGTTGTAGTCATACTTTGAGGTGGCAAGCTCTCACTACATTAAATGACTTGAAAATGAATTTTGACTTCTATAAAGGAGTCTTGTTGCAGTATCCTCGACTCAATGATGATCCAAGAACCTATATCATGTATTGAAGTTAATACATGTTGTCTCAACTTTTAAGAGGTTGATTTCTTACTAAGAATCATAATGTGTTTTGTAGTGTGCAGTTGACATTCTTGATGTGTGAAAACTCTAAGAAATAGCAACTATATCATCCTGAGTCAGTGCGATGTACTGCGGATAAATAACATTGCTTGGCGATTCGTATGTTGCGTGAATAAACAGCACATTAGTTGGGCCCTGTAGTAGATGTGCAATTTGTGGAGAATTTCTTGAGAACCCCCTTCAAAGATAGTATAGAATTAGAGATTCAAGCATTTATATATCAAGATTTATACAATACCTTTGTATGCAAATAACTGACTGAATTATTATGAAGAAATAATACTAGTATCAGTACGTGTGACTAACTGGGGTGATTAATTTGTTTTTAATAGCTCAGTCATTCATTTTCACAAGAACCCAGCGATTTTAATCTATTACTAAAAAAGATATTCGAAATTGTTGTGAGCCATCTGTCTGTCCTGACAGTTACAAGGAAAAAACAGCGTATAAACTTTAGTCTAAAACATCTTGTAAACTGGGCGATTTATATTGATATACCAATCAAGTTCAAAGACAATTTTTACATAGGAACTGTAAAGGTACACAATGCATATTGATGAGGTCAATCGTTATCATACTGCACCAATGAGTTCATCGATTTCATCCCAATCAATAAAGCTTGTGCTAGGCACTCCACCTACTTCAGTCAGAAGATCAGTTTCTGGCACAGAATGCGGGCTTTGCGGAACTGGACACTCCTAATAAGAAAGTGAGCAAAGTTCAAATTCACGTCTAATATTTGTTTAAATGTATAGATATTATATAAGGGGGGGGGTATTTGATAGTAATTTTAACAGGTAATAAACTTGTTCTAAATAATCTTACTTTGTATCATGATTATCTTTTACTTTGGCGAGGCTTCAGCTAAGTTGTTAATTCTATCTATGTAGAGTAGAATAGTATTGACTAATCTAAGGCAGGTAAAAACCCAGGAAAGAGTATATAAACACAGATTCAAATACAAGAACTTGTCTTAGTTTGAAAAATCGACCAAATTCCATCAAAAGCTGGTTTGATAGATTGTTTATTAGTCTAATGCGATAAAAGAAAGTCTCGAATCAACAAAAATCTTTACTTGGCGAATACTGCATCGCACTGGAAAGTCATGATATTTTAGCCTTATATGTATAGACGCATACATAAACGCTGCATCTAAATATTATTTAGTGGGCGAAATTAGACCAGTTTAGAAATAAATTAGGATTTTCAAAATGAAGTGTATTTCATAAATTCTTTAGAAGTAGCACCAAACCATTCTGAGAATAGAAGTGCAGTGTAGGTTGTAGTCAAAAGTAACGAACATCCAGAACCGACTACTATATTGATGGCTTTCATCGAGTTTAGTTGGCTTTTTTTACCTAGAAAAAGCTACCATTTTGTTATAATGGTGAAGTATTGTCATAATTTAAAGGATTAAGAAATGTCTAAACACTAATAACCACTGAAGTGCAATATTATATCTGAAACCGAACCGGATATAATATATTTTGTGACTTAATATGAACCACCTAATTACCAGTGCTACTGTGTCGTAGCTACCACACAAAGCGGTGTTTCTTTCGTCGATTAAACACGTAAACAACAAAGTTACAACAGTGTAAGTAATTGCTATGATTTCAATCAATCTGAATACAGACAACTAGTAATCATTTCTCCTATGAAAATGTAAGAGTAAAATACGCATCCAATATCAAAATACTGCATTTCATCACAGACCAACTCTGGATGAGTAAAGTTGAGAAAAGTAAGGAATATAGATCCATTTGAATGACCTCTAGCAAAGGGAGTTAAAAAAAATGTAAGAATTCACAATATAGTAATATCTACTACGATTACCAGTCTTTATACCAGAACAGCAAACATCAGTAATACCATCAATTAAATTTCATCAGAATTCAGCCGATATGATTTCAGAAGGCCAAAGGATGAACCAGCTTTGTTCCTGTAAATGATGTCTAGATGCATAGCTAGAATACCTAACCTAAGTAGATACTAAACTCTAATCCTTCGAATGTTTTTCTACATTCAAAGCCAAACAGATAAATCTAATGCACTGAAAAGAAGCATAATAACAGTACATTTAACCTGTCCTACTCACACTGAATTCAGTAGAATACCTCTGAAAGGATTTCCATCATAATGATCAGAAACATTATCCTACTGAATCTTGCTATTTGTGGCGTACAAACATTTGGTGAAGTTGAGCAGTTCTCCCGGCGCTTCGAGTTAAGTTAAGTGAGGTTAACTAATAGACGATTAAAATTAGTCCTGTTTTTCGACTTGAAGTTTGTACACAATTCAGTAGCTCATGTATATACACAAGGTTGCTGAGTGCATATACAGGTTTTTTCATAGATCCACTCGCTTTCTTTTTGAGGATACCTAACATATACTTTGATTTTATTTATTTCCTATATTTCACAGCGGTTTGTCCTCAGCGAAGACAACCCTATTCTATTCTTATCCATTAGTTACTATATATTTACACAATATCTGAAAAGATTGTAGTCAAAGTGTTGCCAACTTTCAACAGTTAACAATTTCATCTACACTGCTGCACTTATGAATAGTTATCCCAATTTTTATTTATCACGAAATGCTATCGCTTAAGTTTTACAAATCAATAAATAAGTTGATCACTATATTTCTGATATATCTGAATAAACTAATAATGAAATCATTCTTCTTCTTTGGGTTTCATTAAAACGGAATACATAGAGAGTGTTGCAACTCTTGATTAATTTACTTCTGTTTTACATCATTTCGTTTCCACTGTTGTCTAGGTTAACTTATAAACACAACTAACTCCTTCTTGAAATTATTTTGCAATGACATTCATATTCTGAGTCTATAATTAATAAGCATTGAGTACTTGAGTTTGTAAAGCTCAATTTTCAGCAAGAATTAATCGCTGAATAAAAACGTAATAAACAGTGTATATCGGCTAACCTGATAAGAGTTGGAATCTCCACAAATACTTTGTACTTTCGATGGACTATGAAATCTCATTTCTTCATCTCCGTAAAGTATCCTTTTCACATCACTTTCTAGCGACCAGTCACTTAGAATTGTTGTTTGTAAATCATCTTCAAAAGTTGGATGTCCTGGTGAACTAGATTGTGGTTTTCCCATTATGGAAGGTTTCTGTAAAACTATCAGAAGGAAAGAAATAAAGAGAGAAATTTTAGTTTAGAACTATAATGGGGCTATACTGTTTCTTACTTTATCGATTAGACTAATTATAAGTGGTTTACTCCCACAGATGTTCATTAATTTAACACAGATTAAAGAAAATCGGCAGGAAGTCCTGTAAAGGCTCTGAGTTCCGTGCACTCATCGGTAAGGCGCATATAAAATCTCGAAGGAGCTGATGGCCCCTTTGAGATTCAAACCCATGTCACCTAGTGTTGTAGTTAGCGACGTTACGACTGAGCTACTAGGGTCGCAATTAAGACTGGATTATATAAATTGGTCGGTCACTGGAGACCAACCAATTTCACGTGGTCTAGTCCTGAGTTCTGACCGAATTATATCGATCATTTCGCAAGATGGCATCCTAATTTGATAGCTATATTGCGAAATGATCGATAGAATGCAGTCAACATTCTGGACTAAACAACATGAAATCGGCTGCTCTCCAGTGACCAGTTGATGTATACAGTTTAGTTAATTTGAGAATAATAATAATAATAACAATAATATATATACGGTTGAACGTTATAGAGTGCAGAAAGATTAACAAAATCTTCATACGAAGCCGTATATCCTTGAAGATTTTTACAACTAATCGTCTCACTCCGAAGTTTCGAAGGAAAGCACGTGAAGCAACGTGTAAACATCAGATTGGTTGAAGGGATGAAAATCAATTGGAAAATCTTTGAAATAGCCAAGCTCAGTGTAAATATATATAAACAATTGCATTTTGTATATATTTGTTGACGTTGCAATACACCTGTTATTGAACCACCTTTTGCATTTATCAAGTAACTGAGCGACCACTAAGGGGTCGAATCTGAAGGTTGTTAAAGTGTCCACATATACATAACTCAGGTTACATGAAGTAGTCACCACAAGGATACAACAAGTAACGAATAGAATTATAACAATGAAGGCTCATAAATATTAGCAACCTCACTGAAATGATTTCTGAGTGTCATGTATACATTATAAAACACGACGAGTCAAGTAAAATAAAATTTCTTTGGCAACTATTTACGAAAATCACTTGTCACTCAGAAGTTCGGTTTTCCGAACTCCCAACTTAGTAAAACAGTCAAGTTTGTCAGTAATGACTAGCTTTATCAGTCAGTCATTCAATGTCAATATGCAGCTTGGCAACGGTTCAAGCTGGGGAACGTCACTTCAGCACAGCAAGATGCTTTTGACTCCTTTTTACGTAATGGAGTTGTTTATTTGATTCATAACACAGTGATATGGTATTATTTACTTGCAAATAATACTGTATCACTGCGTTATAAATAAAATAAAATCCAATATGGACTTCAGTTTTACTACAGTGCCCAAGTTTGACACATTAATTTTACCTAATGCTTTGTATATGTATATATATTGTATACTTGGAATGATGCAAAATCATGAATGAATTTAGCGTTAAAATTGCGTTAGTAAGACAACTTTTAGTCGGGTGACATCGACGATTCGATTTATTTCGTGAAACTACGTCCCAAAAGATCTTAGACGACTTCCTAGAAAGTGAATACTGTACACAACATGGTGAATTAGGAGACCAATAACAGATGTTGTAATAACAATTGGGTATCAACCGGCATACTATCGCCACTCACTAGAAAAGATATACTCACATCCTAAGCCCTTAAACATTCACACAATGGTTACATAGCAATCAGAATCCACGTTACAGAAAGCAGTGAATTGAACCACATATAAATGCTTTGAATAGAAGGCTTTGAGCACTTTGGTATTAAGCAGGCCAAGTGTAATAGATATGCAAAATTCATGCCAAATTATAACACTAGTATAGGGATTCACATTAAAATCATATACTCTCAAAAAAGTAACATTTATGAAAAAAAACCAGTCTTTTCATAAACCTTCAAATTTTGTGCTACATACTATCTGTTTGATTTCTTCTATCTGTTAGGGTATTGTAGGCTCCTCTGGCTCTAATTCCACCCCGTCCACATGTGGTAGAGCGAACAACAGTAGGTGGCTTAGGACTAAATGCAGCAGTGCAATTCTTTGAAGTAGGACGTGAAGTTGAAACTCTAGATGAACCACCAATACGCACACGACCTCGCCCCCTTGGTGTCTTTAAAACAATTTAAAAACAAAGAAATCAAAAATTTGAAGAATTATGGCGAAAATAAATTCTCTACAAATAAGTCACAACGGGAAATCACGTATTTTAATATCCCAAACAAAACTGTTGAGGTTGAAATCTCAGACATAAATGTTATTAGGATCACATTATTGGTAATACCTACCACATATTCGGTACAAACAAACCAATAAATACATATCAAAGGTTGTTTTGGAACATTCCACTTATTTGGTATGACTGAGCACTTACTGTAGTACTTGGTGTCCTAGCAGTGGTAGGTCTGCTACTCAAACTGGGTGAAGACTGTATCGGCAGGTTACTTTCCGACAAGATCTAAAGATTTAAACAAATAACGAATAAAATTATGTGCCAGTGGAATGCTAACTCATAGACATGGTAAACAAAAGTGTATTAAACACAAATTTTCCAAGGCTTAATTCAAAACTTCAACGGTTACGAGGAAATACAAACCTGTTTCTAAAGAAAAGCGAATTAAGTCGTTGGGATGACCCAATCAATCTACCTTGCTACTCCTTATTGCAGATAAAATATGACTCAGTTGTCTACTGTAGAAGGCTGTTGATCGAAATACTGTATAAAGTATCGTCAATATCCTCAGTGTGATTATCTCGCAGGAATGCTCTCAGTCAGAACTCATAGAGTTTTAAATAAACCTGGAAAACATAAATTGTTTCTTAGAGTTCTTCATGTTCATGAGCTCTGGTCAAATGATAGTATTTCTGTACAGTTCGTTTCCATTTCATATTATGTATGCCTTCATCGATTTTCACAAGACTTATCTTCATGATAACCTGGAGATCCCCAATAACATGTCTCGAAATTTACCACTGTGAAATAAACGTATCTATTTCTTATCATATGCAAGATTTGTACTAATTCGCTAGCCTACTGTTACTGTGTTAAATTGTACTGACGCAGTTCTATACAAGATTCTAAATTGGTCTATCTATTTGTTTAGTGACAACATATCATTAGTAAAATAAAGTATGGGATCTTTCGGTTTGTATAGGCGAAAAAGAAAAAAACTTGGTGGAACTAAACTGAACAGGAATAAGAAATTGTCATTTTGAACTCATTTAATGTGAAATTAGTACATTGTAAGAAAAGTATTTTTAACACGATTGCTATCCGTGATGTTGCAAAAGTATAGATGTGAATCATTGAGCAAAGGTGCAATGGAAAAAGGGAAATTAAGGTATACATTCTGACTGGAACTATTGTAAATTCCCTCGGTATATAAAAATGATGACGTGTAGTAACTTGAACCTTTAAGAAGTGTTGTTAGTTTTCGCATCGATATTGACTATCTGAGAATTGAAATTTTAAAAATGACTTCAACTACCATTTGATGACATTGTCTTTACCATAAACGTGTTGATACACGAGAATTATCGAAGTCAGCACAACTGCGAAAGATGAATAGGAAGTTGTAGCGGAGATGAAAAGTATCTTTCTGACTGAATGCTGAAGGTAAGTAGACTTATTTATTCCTTAAAAAACACACAATTCGATCATACACAAAATAAAGTAACAGTGGAGTTTGATGGTATCAATATCTATGTTTGGCGATAATGATATGTTTGGAACACTTTCGTTGCCAATACCGTATCTAGTCGGTCATTGAACGTTACAGTTACTTTACTCAGAATGATGTAGTAATAACTCACACATTCAAAATTATGATATATAAAGCAACCAGGACTATAAAAGATAGACTATTGGTGTCTCCTAACATGACCTGATAAAATCGATAAAGAGACAGAAGCCTAGTTGCCTTTAATTGAAGATATGTGACAAGTTACAGTACAAATAATGTGAACGGAGGTAGTGTAAGTGAAATGAAATTAATCAGGAGAGACAGAGAGGATGTGTGTGTTTTCAATAGTGATTAATGAAAAGTTGATACACAATACAGTGAGATATAGAATAGAAGTTTAGAAAAATAAAAGTCGGTGGGTACTTCAAAACAGTTGGAAATTTAGCACTGTCAACAAGTTAAGATATAGTGGTATTGCCTATATATAAAACAGGCATTAGAATTCAATTCACGATCAAATCAGAAACTATCCAAGAAAATACCTGACTAAAAGTTAGCTGTAATTATCGAGTGTTATGTTATTCACAGCAAAGAGATAGACATCTCTTTTAAATGGTATGCAGCGTTCTCAACCTGGAAATATTGTGATAGAAAAAGTAATTGAATAATATTGCAAGGATAACTAACTTGAATAAATGTGTTTTCGTCACAGTTGCACCATCTTTAACCCTTAAATATGAAATTCTTATACAGTACAGCGTACACTCATTTTAGTTATAGAAACCATGTAAACTGATAGTCTCCTTTGAGTCTGAAAGTAGGAGACAAACAGAGTTCGACACCTATTATTTTAATAACCCCTGTTAATTTACTAAGACAGACAACATTTCATACTGGGTTCAACTATATATATATATATATATATATATATATATATATATATATATATATATATATATATATATATATATATATATATATATATATATATATATACATATACATATATATATATATATATATATATATATATATATATTCATTGAAATAAATCAATATATGTTACTTAGTTATATTGCCATAACAACTGTTTGTCTACTACGAATTCACCAACAATGCAAACGAAAACATAGAGTCCTAGTTACCCATTGCACGTACACTTGCAGTAATATAGACTATAAACTGATCTGAACAACAATTTAATTTTAAACGAGTATATTGCATAGAAAGACTGTAGCTGAGTAGAAACAAGGACCATTCGCCAATACTAAGAATTACAAAATAATCTTGCCACCAGTATGTAATAATTATCGAAAAGTGATATTTGCAAAATTAAAAAAGTACTAAATCACACAAGAATCTGTTTTATATGATTTACTGACACAAACAATCGTACCCACTAGAAAAGGTTACACAATGGTCAAAATTGCTGTTAAAACTGCTTTTTATATGAAAAACATTACTGCTTAAAGTAAAGTCATAAAATCTGTCGACGCATGTATGTATCATGGGACCTGAAATTGGTTAGTCTGGTGGTAGAATTTGCTACTGTGTTAGTGGCTAATTCATTCTACAATAAATAAGCTTATTCAATATAGCAAAAAAATGATAGAGTATTATTTACTGGGTGACCTCTCGAGCACAAATTATTTCTCCCATAACCTTCTGGTTTTTCAATGGATTCCTATAACTTTTTATTTTTATATATTTTAATGGAAATTTTCATATATTCAGGATTCATGATCCACCATTACAAGTACACTTATTCGGTATTAACTTGATGAACAGCGACTCAGTAATCAACTTATCGCTCCATTTAATCATATTCCACCTTTGGAACTGCTATTTTATCCCACAACATTGTGTAATTATATGTAAGTGCATGCACAATAATAGCTAAGATTTTATGCAGATCACTTATCTAGGTGGGGTATATCATTCTGAACTCAGCTAAATGCCTATGCTCCGATAACAAGAACGGCACTGATTATGAAAAAATATAGGTCTGAGGTTTTATTCATTGTACGTGAATCGATCACTTGATTAAAACGAACATGTTTGTCACGGTAAAGCTGTTTATCCAAGTTTACAGAGCAGCTTGATAATTCGATCTCCAATATAAGTAATAAAATACTGAAGTACACTTTAATTGGGGTTAAATGTTAGAAATTAGCTGGTAAAAGAATTTGTCATAATCTGACCTCAACAACCTAACGGTAAAGTTACTGATTTCAACACTGATCGTTTAGGGTCTGGATCTGTAAGCACAGGGGACATAAGTTTTCTCAGCGTAGTAAATAGATCAAGCTGGTTAAGATCAACAAATGTAAAGGATACATTCAAGAGTTTTTCGGTAACTTCCTCTTAACTTCCACTAGTGTCTAGCGTTTGAAGAAATGGGTGCTAGATTTCAGTCTCAGCGGGAACAATATCACTCACTGGGATGCAGGCGTGCTCAGTTAAGTCCCAAATATAACGAAACGTGGGTCTTGGATCCCCTTGCTAACTAACCATCATCATGGAAATTACACCAAAATAAAACTTTAAGTAATAACGAGCCATCCGTTTAAGAAGCCCACAAGGCGACAGAGGCCGATCATTTCGGTGTAGTATAACAATCAATGGGAAGTCACAAGCACCAATCAATAATATCTAATACACTTAAAAACTTTAGGGTGAGTACAAGAGAACAAACGTCCATCATCTTGATGACTATGGTTGTAGAAACAATAGTGAACCCGCTGCCTGGAGTATAATGCTGGTAAACTATGGAAGATGTGACAAATTATCACAATTTTAGGGATCAATACATCTTTGTCTCCTGATTTCCTATCATATTTTGTCTTTATAATTTGGTTGGTGTTTTCCATGATATTACAAAATGGTTATGTCAAATGAAGTATTATAACCTTACTAACCTTTACTTAAAAACAAGCAATATGATTACAATGAAGATCTGCTAATTTCACGGTAACTGAACATGTACATGGAATGAGAACTTTGTTGAATGTATGTACATACTATCTTCATAAAGGTTTATCTCTTATTAATTACAATGGATGATAGCAATGAAACACTAATAACTTCTTTGGACATTAGCCTTCACCAGCAAAAGAAAACAACAACTAATAAATGAACACAATTCGGAAGTTAGCTGCTTCACACAAATAAAATTGAGACAAAATTTCAAATTGTCGATTAACAATAAGTTGAATAATTCAAGATATAAACTCACTTCATTCACAAACTTTTTGGCTTCATTACAACGACGCGTGACTGAAACTTCACGTCTTTCTTTTCTTGCTTTCTCACATTCTTCTGAATAATGTCCAGAAGTTGAACGTGATCTCTGATTTCCTTTAAGAGATTTTGTTTGCTGTCTAGCACTTGACAAATTCGTACAATCATTACTATAGATTTTCATATCAGGAACTGATTGATCATTTAATGGTTTCCTGTAAAAATTATACATTTATGCAAGAGTTTAGAATTCAGAAACCACATACATGTCTGTAGGAACTTGAGTGACAGAGTTAGAGAGAAACGTTTGCATTATAACCTGACATCATTTGTAAAACCCATGAGAGCTAAGCAATCACTAATTTCTGAACCAATAACTTTCAGCAAAGCAAGTACAAGTATTTGGTGCAGAATTCAGAAGACTACTGCTCAGCATGAGCGATTTCAACCTAAGACAACATCAAATTCCTGGACCACAGGTCTAAAACAATAGCAATTATGTTCCACAGAGCAGCAGGAAAGGATGAAACATGCATTTATTAGCATTTATTTCTTCAAATTAATACTAACTTGCTAAAAACGTCAACTAAAAATTCCATATCTAAACCGTGGTATACAAAAACAACTCTAAAGGTATATCAACAGCTGAAAATGTTTCATTCACCTTAATGAAGCGAATGAATACTAATATGCCGAACTGTGGAACATACTCCCCTACTTGTTGGTACTGTTTAATTTTAGTAACAGCCTTCAACTTTATCAATTGATACATGTATCTTGTACTGCTGAAAATAGGCGCATAGCTATTTTTTTGGGCTAAGTTATCATTATTTGTAGGTGAAATCCCACACAATTATGCTAACCATCTTAAATTCGTTCCAGGTAGCGGCAATCTGCAGGCTGAATGTACAATAACCATGCATTAGATACAGTTAACGGATGCTAAAGTAAAATAATAATGATTCCAGTTCATAAAGCAGAACTCTGGTAGAAGTGAACAACAATGACCTGAAGAAAATATTAAACATAACATGAAAAAGAAAAAACGGTCAACCAAAGTATACATGAAAGGTATCATATTGGCTAAATCAAATTCAGAAAACAAATTTTTCTTTCAAAAAAATTGGGAATTTCAATGAATGCACAATAATAAATTCTATGTAATGCGAAAGTGATATACATCGCAAAGGATGACAGAAGTGGGAAGATGTGAGTCACAGTTAATAAAAAAAATACTGAAAAAAATTCTGCAGACGCGCTTTACAATAAAAGTAATAAAATGTTTGCTTGTTTATATCAAACTGATGGGGCAGTAGAGAATATTTTTAGCCCAAAATGAGGATGATACTCTTTTGCTCCTCTCTTGGACGTTTCACCACCATGCTAGACGACTTCATCAACACTTACCATATGGATGGATATCTTACATTACCATACACAAATATAATACACTTGAAAGCTTCAATGCTGCATGATAATGATAAAACAATACTAATGTTTATGATTACAACAGTTTAAATAATTCCTGATGTAAAATCCGGATGATGACCAAATGCATCATTTAAGATTTCAAACCGTCCATAGAAGGATATGGAATTCATGGATATATTCAAGAAATTAAATTGTTATAATATGAGTAAGAAAAGGTAACTAGAATCCTATTAATGTGTTCTTGATAAAAACTGAAGTTGTTAGGAAAGTTAGGTTAACCAACACCATGGACTTATAAAGACAGTATTAATAAAGAAGAAGAAATGCAAAGTTAACTGTAGCAAAGGGGAAAAGCAGAAAAGCCAAATATCGTTATGCTCAAATTAAAAATAAAGACTGAATATATCTTTTCTCCATACTAACTAGAATCAGGCTTCCTTATACGAAAAGACAGTACCCACGTTGGTTTCAGAAGCTGAAAACATTTTCTAACTTGTGTGCACCACGAAATCACTGTTCGAAATGAATGAACAATCAAAGTCAATTTTGTATCATATACTGTCTAACAAACGTTTTATTGTTCTCATTAAATCATGCTGGAACATATTACTGTATATGTTAGAAGTGATCTCTGTTTATTGCTAATGTACCTTGAACTACGACAGTATGCAAATTACTCAGGGCATATAGAAGCAAACATACGCAAGATGTCTTGCTTTACACATGCACATAAAAACGTATGCCCTATTAAGTTCAATTACAGTTTTACCACTGATTAATCTAGATGGAGGACTTTAGAGTGTGTTCGGTACCTGGTCACCGTTCAAACTTTTAATTCCCGAATAGAATCTTTTTATCAATGGAGTTGGTGACTGGTTTCGCTCACAAAACACAGTAAGTAGTCATAAAAACTGTAGAAATTAGTAAGGTATTTATTCTCAGTTGGTTTTTCTGTGGATGGGTTGTTTAGAAGATCCGTTGCAGAACCTGGTAAGAACATATCAATAAAAAGAGTAGCTGAATGTATGTATACCGTCATATAGATCAAAATCCATATCACAAATGACAAACGTATCATTTATGTATCGTCTGTAGATATAATACCTCTGTAGGGACACATTTCCTAAAAACTTTGGCCAATTACTAGATATGTAGAGTGTATTTTCTTTTTAAACAAATTTCAGTACATTTTTACAGGTCTAACTCGACCTTCAACTACAAGCACTTGAAAGGCAACAACCGCTTAGTATAGGTAGCTGTCACATAGGAAGTTCTATTCAGTTAGGTACAGGAATCTCTTTGCTGCACTATTCCAGTGTTCTACTTAAATTACAAGTCACACTTGTATGCTGAGTACCAAATAGTTATGTCACATTGTGCTCCTTGAGGAAATTTAAGCACAAGAAATACTTTTAAAAACACCTCCCCCTTTACAATGCTCTAGGGTAAAACTGCTATCAGAACCAATAAATGTGAGTCATCCTTGTCCTGAGTTCCTGAGTTATGGTCAAAGCTTGAATACCTGAGTGTGTTATATATTGACAAGACGAAGTTATCACTTTATGGAGAAACGAGGATCATTCAACTAGGATGGTGCAGGACCTGAAAATACATTAAATTTGCTGCAATGATAAACTAATTTACCCACCTTGATTTCATGTGCTTAGGCTGAAGACCGTAAAATACATAACTCTGACACAAACACATCATTCCAAATTTCCTGAAGCCTCACTTAATATCACTGCATCTGACTAGCTTTAACCACGCCCAGAGTCAATCACTGAAGTGAATGTAACCCCTTAACTTTCAACTCATTCTTGTACTCATACGAAGTGAGTCATATGGATATACATACAACTGTTACATGTCTACAGAGAACCAGAATTTACGTACAGAAGCTGAACAACGCACGCTAGTTTCATTTAATATGCAATCATGAATCGTACAAAGTTGGGCGAAGAGTTAATGAAAAACAAAATAATGCTACAGAGTAATTCTTTAGTAAAATGACTTTTAGAACAAATGAAATTGGAGAGCCATTATTGTTTATTTGAGATTCTTATCCTCATTTTTTCGGTGCATAATAACAGTACTGAGATGAGTTATCGTATACCACATCACAACGATAGAAAAAGAACAAAGATGGTAATAATATCTTTAAATGAACTTAAAAACCAGAGAAATGAGGAAAGTAGTAAAAAGCAGTAAAGCAATAAGGTGCAGAGCATTTTAAGAAAGTTTAAGCGTCCAAATCAAGCCTAGATAAACGTATTCAAATCCGATGGCTCTTCTGGAGAGTATTAATTTAAAAGCAATGGTCGTAAGTAAAAACAAACAAGATAATAAAATAACTGCTAAAACTTAACTTACTCAGCATTTAGCAGACTGGTTTTAAACTGGAATCATTTGACACCGTGGGCTTTGTTGCAAAGGATTCTGTACTATTCTCGTTGAGTTATCTAACTGAGAAGGTGAGTTACTTTTATTCTGTCCTTTATTCAGTTGGATGATAGTTTCGAGGAGCTGTTACATCGAGAAAAAGTGAAGAAGCACTTATAGCTTCTGTTGACACCTCAAAACACTGTAAATATCTCTGTTTTAATCTTTACAAGTTAAAAAACCTTTTCTACCGAAAAATATGGTCAGTTACTAATAAATCATTTTGAAAATTAAGCAATGGCAGGAAACTTTTTTAAGGGAAACGTGTTAGGTTTGACTATAGAGCTAAGAAACAAAACCAGTAGCAAAGACTTAGTATGTCATGTGAAGTGACTTAGTTATATGCGTACATTAACGGTCAATAATACTGATGACTTTCTTAATCTGTTTATCAACTCTCAACGGTCAGTGCAGGGTGGTATGAACTGAGTGAATTCACGCTAAAGCAAGTTTACATGAGCTCAACAATCAGACCTTTTCTAAACAAATAATGATAAAGTTCCACAACAAGTACATACCGTTTTATCCACCGTACTGTGCTACTTGGTAGCTGAAATCTCACAAGAACCTGAAACATACTAATTAAATGTCCAATACCTAGATCTAAGAGTTAAACATTGTAAGTTACTTATGCCATATATTTACACATACATTTTCAGCTGGATAAATTGAAAAGTCATGAAAATGCTATGTTGCAATTTTGCAATGATTAAGAAAAAGTGTTAGAAGGCGTCTATACTTCATATAACAGTATTTCACTCACAACAACTACCGTTCAGTGGCCTCAAATAAAGCAGTTCCACTGTGCAATTTATACGAAAAGTCATATATGCATATTAAAATGACAAACCGACCAACTTAAGAAGATAACATAACACTGCAATTCAATATATTACGTCAACAAAACTATCTATTTAAGATCCTTTTGAACACTTACTTCTTGATTCCGTTTGTGATCCTGCTCTAGTTGTACTGAAACTTGATCGATCACATTCAAACGATTGTCGATTTCGCTCAACGCCTTCAACATATCTATTCCAAAATAATTTGGCCCTTGTTTAGTGAACAGTTCACGATCCATTGGTGACTGAATATTTTTCTTTGTTATTGATAATCGGATATGCCAAAGTTTTGGCTGTAATCGGGTCAGCTATCAGTCTAGGAGTATTGTCATTATTATTTGGAGATGTTGGTGTTGATAAAGGCCTTGGTGATACTGAAGCTTTGTTATACACATTATTCAAAGAACTAATTGTCTGTTTTTCCATTGGTCGAATGTCGTGTTGCAAATCTGCCTGTTGTGTAACATTTTGGCTGTGTTGTTGAACACGATTGGATGATTCTGAATGAGAATGAACAAATGGAACATGTGCTTCATTAACATTTTTATTGTCTTCTTCATTAGTCCAGTCTATCAGGTCAGATGTGTGTATACTGAGAAACTGCTTAGTGAAATGCTGAAATGAGTTAAAAATGCAAATAGAATAGATGGTCAACGTGCATGGTAAGGATATTTATGATGATAACAATACAACAAACGAAACATTGTTTGAATGCAGTTATCATTACCAGCCAAGTGTAAGTGGAAAATTCATTCAAACAAGGGATTTTAGAACCGTTGTTATGTCTTCCAAATACATCCCACAGTAAAGCATACCGAGCTCAAGCTCATCATACCAACTCTTAAACTGTTTTGCTTACGACAAACGGTAAGATAGTTTGGGTTACCAATTAATGGGGTGAGTGAATTCGTAAGGGTCACTCATCAGAACAAGTTTTGGTTGCCTAAAATACCAATACATTAGTTTATATGAATTCTGGTCAAGATTTGACCGCGTAATTTCTTAACTATCCAGCGTCCAGTGAAAAGTTTGCATTAGATATGAGCTATATATGGGTAGATTTCATTGTTTTTGAATGAAGAAATCCCAACGTTTCGCACGGAAGTTTGCTCCGAGCTTCTTCGGGGAAATAATCAAAATCTACGTTATCATACATGTGTAAGATCATGTAATGATCGACACTTGTAATTCTCCGTTGCTATACAGGGTCAAATTGCTCGATCTCTGCTGACAGATGAGCCATTATATGGATACCTAGATACTACCTGGTATTCATGATGTTATATTCATCTTGGGAACTATCAGTGGAATCCAGGACGCGCATTCCATCCAATTCGGATCTCGTCAGGTGGATATAACTGCACCCTAGTGAGTGATATTGTTCCCACTAGGACTCGAACCCAATACTCATCGCTTCAAACACCAGAGTGCTATCTACTAGGCCACTGTGCTCCAGTGAGTACTGGGTTCGAGACTCAGTGGGTACGACATCAACAACTTGATTGCAGGTACACCCAGCTAATGAGTTCCGAATTGGACGAAATCCAAACACTGGATTCTACTGTTAGTCATCGTTTAGTTTATCTCATTGTCCAAACGTGTCTGGACCAGATTTCCTTGCAAAACGTTGAAACTTGTTTTAAACACTGAAATTTATCCAGGTATAACCTATATCAATGCTTTTGTTGTCTAAGATATGCTAACTTCTGTTGGAGATTATTTTGAAATAATTAAACATATTTTTTTATAGTGCACGGTATCACTGTGTCTCATATCCAATAAACAATCTAATATGGAATTATATACTATGACAGTACCCAAGTTTCACTCTTGCTTATCTACAGTAATTGCTGTTCAATATCACACGTATAAATTAACACTAAAGTATATTACCTCGTAATACTCAAACACTACGCTAAACTGTTTGAAATTTCTCATTTACCCTTCATTCATTATTCGCCTAATATAGTATGATATTTTAAAGTATCAAAAAGCCATCACGAATCACTAGATGAAAAACAACCAATACTTTGACACATAGTGTGTGTAGAAGACTTCGGATATTTCAGAGTTTTAAAAGTCCCCATCATGAAAATTAGAACAGGATCCCTAGCCGGGTCTTGGATGCGTACCACTGAGGAGTCTCATACTAGGACGAAACAGCTGTCCAGCGATGAATACTACCTCACAATTAATAATCCGCACTAACTATATATATATATATATATATATATATATAATTACTACCTAACTGTTACACATTTAAGACAGACATTCAAGCTTGATATATTTTGTACTTACCTTTTACCGTTCAAGCTAAAACGTTTTTATAAGTGGAATAGTCTCAAAATAATTTTCACTAAAAATTTTTTTACTATTCGAAAAATCACTAAGAATCATCCGGTCCCTTCAACTGAACAAATGTTTAGTAGTCTACACCTTCAAAAACACAGAGAATCTCATCCAAAATATTATTGATTGTTGCTGTATATGTCATTACTTAACCAATTACTTAATCAAATACTGCATTCATCTGTGTGGTTAGTTTTTGCATTGATTCTGAGCAGCAAAATACTCACTATAAACACTCAAAATCTACTTTATGAGATCTTACAACCCATCAATAGTGAGTTTCTTATCAAGATAATAAATAATTCATCATGGTAAAAAACAGTAATACATTAGGTAGATAACAAAAGAACATACTCCAATATCATTTTGTAACAACTGTTCAATAAAATCTTGAGTGTCACTGAAGCCCGAAAATGTACCGAATCCAACTGAAATCAGAATAAAAAATTTGAATACACTTTTTATTGTAGTTTATTTCAAACGTATAATGGAAACGAGTGATTCATAAGCAAACTCAAATCAGAAGTGAAATAACGGTTTGTTATGTATTATTTCCATAAGTTGATTTAACAAGCTGCTTATAATAAAAGAAACTGCATTATACATCACGTAGTTTTGTAATTTGGATTAAATATTATTTTTCCCCCCTTGGGTTCCTAGTGGAACATAGGGCTTCAGTAGCACGCCTTCATTCCAATCTGTTCTCTGCAGTCTTTTGAACCTGGCACCACGACTGCCAACAACCTTTCATTTCTTCCTCATACGATTTCCTCCATATCACCCTCGGACGCCCAACTTGTCATTTCCTCTTTGGATTCCACTCGATGGCCTGGCCTGACGCGTGATGTCCCTAGTCGGTCTTCTCAGTGTATGCCCAATCCATCTCCACTTCCTTCCAGTGCATATTTGTTCAGCGGTAGCTTCTTGATTGGCTCGTTGCCAACAGGAGTGAGTTCCTTGTTGCTTATTTTTATTATTCTGGCCATCTGATCTTCAATATTGAGCCAGCGTAGGCAGCTGCTGATGACTGTCTGTAGTTTGTTGAAAATGCTTTTCGTGACGCGCCAAGTTTATGAACGATATAGCAGCACTGACTTGACTGAATTAGTGTTGAAAATCCGGATCTTGTTCCACATGCTGAGTGCAGAAAATCCCCACACTGATTCCAGATTAACGAAAGCCTGTTTTGCTTTTCCGATCCTGGTTTTGACATCCTCGTCTGTGCCGGCGCCTGTAGCTGAAACGATGCTGACTTGCCTAGGTAAGTGAAAAAGACTACTTTCTTTAGGTTTCTCCCATTAATGGTGATTGGTGCTTGTTGTTAATGCTGTTGTTGGTTGGGTATCTTCATCACCTCTGTCTTCTCTACGTTCACTTGAAGTCCCGTCTTTGATGCTCCTTCTGTCAACTTGTTAGTTTTCGCCTGTAGATCATCGAGTTTGTGCGTTATTAGACGTAAATCATCGGTGAAATCCAATACTCTAGGCTTTTTTCATCGGTCCAGCGTATGCCCACCTTCTCGCTCCTCACGGTTTGCTGCATGATTGATTATATCATAAAAAATACAAACAGCCTATCTAATGGGGACGTAAATCGAATCGCCTCGTGATACGAAGGAACCAAAAATATGATATTTAATTTTGAAATTTCACTGTTGGCTTCTTTCGAAAACCAAAATGTACTTAGACAATAAAATGTGATCTAAATAACAGCAGAAATAGCATCATGATCGGGAACATAAAAGCTAACGTAACATAATACTGAATGTCATGAGTAGATGTATATCACTCATACCAATCACCAGTGGTCACTAACCGGATCAAAGTAATCTAAACACCCAATGGTCACTTCACTTGCTCTGTATTAGGTTAATCAACAGTGTACTCGGACTCGTTCAGCTCCAATAACCGAGTTGATCGAATAAGCTGATTTTAGGCTGGCTACCACAGGAAACTGGTGATGCTTCAATCAAATAACCCGAGTATCAAAATGTCAAAAATATAAGAAAATCTCTTGAAAAGTTATCAAATAAAGGTTGGATTTCACTACTACCTTCTCAGTATTATCCAACATCTATTCTTTAAAGACTAAATAAATATCAAAATATCAAAAAATGTATACATAAAACTTAATTATTTTCTCCAACTAAACAGGAGACTTTTTTAAATTCAGCTTGGTTTTTGACAAGCAAACCTGCTTTCAGACATTTTCATCTTGGAGTAATGATATCTCAGCTGTTATTCAAAGTAACAGAGAACGACGTAGTATATATTATATAACAACATAGATGTGCTGAAAATACAATTCTGAAAATAAAACTTTGATCGACTCAGGTAATTGCGACACGAACTACGAACGCATAGCCAACATCTACCTCAATTTGTTGAGTTGATCTGAGTATAGCTACGCTGTCAGAAAAACCGTGCTCAGTCATATTGAAATGTGGCACCATTCAATAAGGTCTATAGCTACCATTTTAAGTTATGTAGAAGAGTGCAGACTTCTAGGCTGGGGTTTGTGTGATAACCAAGACGAATGGTTGAGTGATGTAGATGATATAACACAGCATTGATTACAATCGTGCAAAATGTATTGACTAAACCAGGAAATGTAAACGAGTGCATACATCCGTGTTAGTCACACATTATCTAGTTATCGCATACCTAACTAATAGAGGAGACCAACATCAACTCTTTTATATTTTTTTCCGTCTAAAAATATTTCCAAAACCTACCACCCTAAAAGAAATAAACAATAAAACGTAGAGTACATGCAATTAAAATGTACTAAACGGCAGAACTATACGTCACAGAATTTTTCAGCGGAACACATTTTTGTTAAGATATATTTTATCTGCTATTCTTGATCGGGTAACTTTAGAGGGAGAAAACAAATGTCATATAGATCGTGATTGATGTCCAACTCTTATGCATAGACTTTATAACAAAGAAACAGTTGTTAAAACGATTTTAACTAAGGAACGCCTATAGTCAAATACCTCAACCTAAATGATACGCTATATTCTTCAGTTAATTATATAGGGATCTGTTCAATGTGAAATATGATGACATTTATATCAGTGTAAAACTTGGGCACTGTGGTCGAGTGTAATTCCATTTTAGTCTGTTTATTAGAAATATCACACAGTGAGACAGTAGCATCCAGTAAATGCTACTGTTTCACTGTGTGATATTTCTAATAAACAGACTAAAATGGAATGATGACATTTGTTCAGAAGTAATCAGAATGTTGATGATTACTCCATTTACTTTTATAAGACTGTCTAACCTACCTTGAGCTTTTGGTCCACCGTAATCAACGAAGTTAAACTGAGCTCCAAAATCACTATGATTTTTCTCATTTCCACAAGCAGGTGAATTTGTATCCCTATGAGATGAGTTACATACGTTTACACTGTTAGGAAGCATAGGCTTAATAATATTGTCTTTCGTTGTATCCACAGCCCATGAAATATCATTGAGTGTAGGTTGATCTTCGTTGTATTGTTCACTAACAACGGGATAAGTTAGTATTTGTGAAGTATGTTCTTGTGAGTTTGCTTTACATGTTGAAGCATGATAGTTAGGATATATACTTCTCTTGGAACCCAAAATGGATATTTCTTTTGAGTCTGATATGATGTTGTCCATTTGCCTTCTATTTTGATTGTGATCAGTATGTTTGTCACTAGAATGCTTTAAATATGGTAGCTTTATAAGTTTACAGAACGGCTGCTTGATTTTAGGGCTAATTTTATCCAACTTTAAAAGTTGAAATATAGTTGGATTCGGTAAATTACATTTATTCATTACAAAATGACTTTTCAATAAGCTCATATTCATAGGATAATGTTTCTTCTTCCCAATTCCTGAGTTTGACTTTTTAAGTAATTTGATTTTATCTAAAGGTAAAAGTTTGTTTAAGTTTTCACTTTTCCATGGTAGTATTGTACAATGAACAGACGGTTTTAGCAATTGAACGTTATCTTGTGATTTCAATTTATGTCTCGACCCGAGGATTTCAGCATTTCGGAAAGGTTTGTTAGGGGTTGATACAAATTTTCCTGTGGGCACTGAAGTATCATATAAAATCAGCGGAAACTTGTTTTCCGCTTTTTGTCTTCTCTATAAAAAAGAGATAAGTTGCACAGGTGGCATTAAAATATGAACAAGTTTAGTCGTAGGTAAAATGTAGATGATTAAATGTTTAACATATATAGTAATTATTTTGTCACATTTTGGCTCATTATTAACTCTGAAAAAGAGTGACTTGTAAAATGTCTTCATAGGTAAGAAAAAATTTGATTAAAAACAGTTTATAGTAAAACAAAATTTTAAATCCAGAGCATTTACTCATTCACAAACACCTACTGTGAGAAAGTCAGGTAAATCAAAACAGATTTTACAATATACAAACGACAAAAGTTTTCAGTTGAAGCTTTCTGAGTTAAAGGAGAGGCTACCCGATTTAATCTTGATCAAAAAGATTGAAGTGGTTGAACAAAAGTATGGGTTACCGCAAGATTTGAAAAACAGAACTATAAACTACTGATTCGGCATGAAACTAAGCTGCTCAGGAAGCTACAGTTTCAATTTGGTGAATCAGGACTAAGCACTGTAGTCGTGTCGATGAAAATCACACATAATTTCGGGATTTTATAACGACGTTTCGACAACTAAGTTTCCTTATCCTCATAGAGGACGTAACAACGAAGTTCCTCCCTCACAAAAGTGATATACTTCATTACAGTACAGAAATTGAAAAGTATCAGGAATAGAACAGACGGACATATGTAGAAAGTAATATCACATACATTTTGAAAAATGCAGTAATGTATACACCTAATTCTTCAAAACCTAGTTTCGATAATTTCACCAGGTGTCTCACATTGTAAAATGCTGAAAAGAAATGGTTGTTATTTGGGATTACTTAGATATTTCAACCCATTTTCGGTAACGATCTGCCTCTCATTCCCTCCGATCACTTCACCTGTCATCTACGTTAAAATCGTATTACATTACCAACTTTATCAGCTAATTTCAAATCGATTTTTAATTTCAACATGCATGAAATGAAGAAGATATCTGAATGTTTCAACTGAGTTGTCAAAGAGGAAAGACTTCATCGAATAACACTTGTTTTGAGTAAGATCATTTGAAGTACGATCGCATTTACGTATAACTAGTGTTTACACCTAATGGTAAAAAAGAATGTAAAGATGGTTTGTAAAATTACAATTCTTGTTAGGAAACTAATATGGGAAGTAAAACCACATAAGAAGCATCAAAACATTTAACTGGATGAATAATAAACTTATGTAAAGTAAGCATGATTTGAAATGATGTGATTAAAACACATAACATAGGGGTTGAATAATTCTCATTGATGAAGCAAATAGTGTTCAAAATAAGTTGTTATCTGAACCAAGAGTTTATGTAACAACAAATTAATGAAACTGGAGCCCAAAAGAGAAGAAAAGTTAGTTCGTTTTAAGGATTTACAGTGCTGATAAGTTAATGAGGAAAATGAATGGAAAACTTGCCTTAGAAGTCATTATGCAATGCACAACAGACGTTTATTAACACCTTTTGGAAGCTTCTTTTAAACTCTGTAAACTTCGTACGAAATGAGGCAACTCAACTCAAGTTCATTACAGTGTTAAGGTATGACTAATCTCTAACGTTGGCTCATTCAGATAAAGTGAAGATAATGCTAAATGATAGCTATGATGGATAGTGGTTAGTAGCAGAATCCAGTCAGGTATGCTTATGCCCAGTGAGTGATGTACCGGAAATATCAAGGCATCCGCGCAGGTGTCCATATAGCATTTCCATCCAACCAACAACGGGGAAATTAAACGCTACAACATCATTTTGATAAACTTCTTAACAAATGCTTAGTGTTATATATTAATGTAGATCGCACTGATACAAAGATATTTTACATGATGAACGATATCTTACTGATAATGCAGATGAATTTCACTGATAATTACAAAAGTTCAGTAATCCTTAGCACAGTAAATATACGTTTTATTCACCTAAAGAATGATCACGAATCATCCATTCCTTAATGACCTTTTGCATATCTTGGTTCGTTTCTTTAGTGAACAGCTATCCTCATTTAACATCCAACACCATTATCCAAATTAATTCCCAAAAGCTATTTGGCTTACGTCAAAAACTAAGTCGGTAATGAAAGTGATTTAAAAGCAACAGAAGATATTTCAACACTATAAGTGCCTCTTTTTGTTTGCATTCAAAACAACTTCGAATATGCTGATTGTAAAACCAGGGTTTTGTCATAATTGGGGTATGAACCTTATATGACCTTACAAAAAGATAACGGGAGGATGTCAACTCATCAATTCGCGACATGATACACTTATTTCCGAAAACAAACTAAAACCATTTGACAGTGGGATAGTAAATGCATTCAAATTAATCGCTAACTTCAGGTCAAACACAGCAAAGTCTAGTTAAAATCACCAACCAAAACACTTTTAGCTTTCTGGCACTATATTTCACAATTCTAATTCAATTTCTTTCATACAAGAGATACAACTAACGTAAATTTCATCTATCTGATTATAAGTGAGGTTAGTTCCTTTTCCAAATGAAAACCCTTTTAAAGCGTTTTCATTCAGTGTGATGCGTTGAAGTGCAGTTTGAAACATTTACGAAAGTGATCCATATGGTAAACAAAAGTTTTTTGATGACAAATATGTTTTCCTTCAAATCGGTACAACAATAAATATTATTTTTACTTCCCACACCGTATAATGCAGACCTGGATGCTTAAAAATTCAACCAAAAAAAGTATACTGTTAAAACTCGGTAGAGGGATATAGCAGAATTTACTACAATAACTGGTTGCCATGTTCACTTTTAAAAAACACTGATACAATGTAGGTTATATTACTATAAGCCTCAAAGTATTTTTTAGAAAATAACTCCAACGTTTAGCCTGGAAGTCTGTTCCTAGCTTCTCCAGGAAAATAGTCAAAATTAAAATATCAAAGATGCGTAAATGAACTCAAAAACGTGTACTGAACCTCATTGTCCAATCTTCCTTTCAAAATAAATCAGAGACATGCAGTCTCACACTGAACGATTAGTAAACATATCTTCAAAAACAATAAGTATACCGAAACGATTGGATAAGGAGACTAAGTACATATTTCTGAATTCATTTATATATCTTTAATATTTTAATTTAGACTCTTTCCCGTGCGAAATATTGGAATTAATTTGTTTCAAACACTATGAGACTTATTTAAAGCTAACCTATATTTAATGTCAGCTTTTTACACGACAACCAATATATGCGGTACTGTTCGATCAAATTTGGATCAAAACTCATATGAGACAGTTATCTGGCAAATATAAATGATCTATATTGAGACTATCTGAGATAGCTTTCGTTTAGCAGACTGGCGTTATTACTACTAACTGGTCATTGAAAGTGAAGTTGAAACCTACGTCACGGCATGATTCTAACCAATTTACTGACCTGAAGCTCTAACAACCGATCTAAAAGAATCAGCTCCTAACTATGTCTTAACTTCACTCCTCAGTAAAGAAATCTATAGGAGCAAAGCTAGTTCCTGATTCGCATTAGGACAAGAAGACCTAGATAGGCAGCTAGTGTGATTACGATGAGCAGGCAGTGGTTTATTACGGATTCACATGACAGTCGGGCATAGTTCTTAGTGACTGAATAGAATTTGAGATCTGGTCACCTCCTAGGTTTTCTAGATCAGTTGGTTGAGCGCTAGGCCGGTCACTCGTAGGCCACTGGTTTGAATCCTGCTGCGAGAAATCAGTTGAAGTTTCAGTTAATACATTGGTTTACAACCTAGTACCAGGCTAACATGTGGTATTCTTCACCAAGTCGTGGAACAATATCTAGAACTCTAGTCAATAAGGGTTACGTAATTGTCTACAATTGCTTGAAACCATGATATTTCTGAAGAAAAGTGAGCTTCCTAGAAGTGATATTCACATACTGCTGATGAATTTCCAGTAAGTTCAGGGATTCCAGCCAACTTAACTCAGTTATTCACTCTTCACAGTTTTCAGTTTAAATGATTTTACAATAAATTGGTGGGTGTACATGGAGATGAGTAAACAAGAAATGAGAACACTGATGCCTTATGTTGAAAATAATAATTAATACAGCTTACATTGAATCCATCTTAAAAGGTTGAGCTTGGAAATTAAACAAATGTTTAGGTAAAATCAGAGATCTAGTTTCATCCATTTTTTCATATCTAGAAGACAAATAACATCAGTTTATAGTCAGCTGGGTTCAATTGAAATAAAAACACAGTACAAATTCATAAAGATGTGAGCTTGTCATTGGTTTAAATGAATATATTATCAGAGGTGTCGTACGCGTTGCATGAGTACTCACTGTAACTCAGTAGCCTACTGTATAGCTCACTGGATTTTTAAACGGTGGATCCGGAGTTCAAGTCTCAACAAGGACAAAACTCATTGAGAGGTAGGTACAATTACCCAATGAGTCGTATAAAGGACAGAATGTGCATTCTGGATTCCCCCTGTTTGTCCGCACCCATGATTACCATGGTCAGCAGGTTTGAACTAAGAATATAACCATTCTCAAAGGCATTATACCAGTTTAATGTTCTCATGCGAATCAAACTGAAAGCATAGCCTACTCACTAACAACTAAATTAACTAGCATCAGCTGGAAAAGACCAGTATTCTTTGGTTGCAATTATACGAGGTTAAGACGATATGTACCTTGATCAAAGATGAAATGCATAGAGATAAATCAAATTCTTGATAAAATTAACACACGCTTCATCTTGTCAACAGATAACCTGATGCATAGCCACCCTGCTACTGATTAAAATATTTTTCTGACTATCAATATGGACGGTGAGTAAAACTATGTAAGAAATTCATTGTGCACCACAAGTAAACTTTTTGACTTCTTTAGAATACTGAAGTTATTCTCCTTCATTGTTCTCTACGTGGACTGATATCACTTAAATCTATCGTAAACCTATGAGAAGTCGACTTCTGACTAAGAGGAGCTTTTGCATTTTGTGCCTACTACATTTACCATAAAGGTGAGGAATGAAATTTAATCATCTTTCATTCAGTGTGCATGAGATAACACGCGTTTGCTGACACTGCTAAAATATCTTCTCACTGACATCTGCTGTGTACAAAATAATGCCGTGTTAGTGAATGCAGTGAAACAGTTATCACTGAAAGCTGCTAGTTAACATCCAACAGGTACAAAGTAATATTCTAAGGCTTATTTCTGCTTACGTTGAGCCTACATATGAGGACTTGGTTTATCGAGTTCTATACGTATGTGAATTAATACACTATCTCTGGAGTAATGAACTCAGTAAATTTCCCAGTATAGACGTAAAAAAAGAAAACTGCTATTAGCCAAAATGCTATTTTCTACCATAAGAAACCCGAACTGAAGGTGGAGATGAACAAATACCAGTATCTTTATCATCGGTGTCTTTGTAGAATCATTCAAAGTGAGTTATCGATATCGGACTTAAAGCTTTGACAAAGCATGATTATTCACCTTGTGAAGTTGTGAAGCTGCATCGGCTGGTGTGTTTGAAGAACTGATTGCTCGGGTCGGATCTGACAAATGTACCATTTTCATCGAAAAGTGGATATAGAGTATTACTGTCTTCAAACCATAAAGTAATGATTACAATTCAACCTTTTTAGGTAAATGCTCATTTGAAAAGAATCTAAAGAGACCTGAAGGGTCACTAATTTCAGTCTCTCAGCAAAATGTTTCTAAGATAGATAGGAAATGAGGTAGAAGTTAAAGTGACAGCAAAGAGTATGGTGGAATCACCATGTTAGTTACAGACATAGAGACTATAGTATTCGTCAGAAAAAAGAAGTAAATCACATTTTTGTGAACGCTATTACATAAAGTAAATTCCATTCTACCTATAGACTGATAATATTAAAAATAGCGTTGCAAATATCCCACACTTAGTTAGAAAACCTACCTCATCAAATCATGCACAGAAAGGTTATCTACACGGTCCCGTGAAAGTGGATGAAGCCATGATTTTCGCCTGACTGTTGACCATGTCGGAGCGCATTTTGCTGAGGAAGGGGGTACGGGTAACATGTGTCTGCAAATTTTCAACAAGTGAGGCAAACAGGTTCTAATTTATACGTAATCTAGGTTTATTATCAAAAAACTCTTGGTTAATTTGACTATTTTTCCTTCCCGCAGGTGATAGTGCGTTAAGCTGACCAACTCTTAATCTTACTATTATTTCAAAGTGGGGTTAATAAAAATGTCGTTAGAGATAATAATAATAATAATAACAATAATAATAATAATGACCAGTTTAAGGCATATTAGTCGTAGAAAGAGACTGCCTTCAATAAGTTTACACTAGCATGATGCATCATCGTTTTGCAAGGGCTAAAGGAAGACTATCACAAGTTTACCCCTCAAACAACAACATTAGCCTCGGAGTAAATCGAAGTTAATGAAGTAAAAAAACAGCGTTGTTTGTTGAAAACTACAATCACTGTGACGATTCGGCCTAATTGTATGGAAATGACTTGAAATTCAAAGTAAGGAAACTAAAAAAAGTAATCAGTCAATAATGTGATATCAGCCAACAATTAGGTTTTCGATTTACAGGCAGAAAAACCCAAACAGACTAGTGTTTAGTTACCTATCAGATCATTGGAATGAGATGTACTGAGAATATCAGGAAGCGGAAAAGAACTTTCTACATTTTTCTCAAATTTAAACTCAGCATTTTTCACTTTCAGTGAATAATTTTCAAAAGTTTCATATTTTCCATGTAACAAAATCAAAGAACGCATTCAGTAAATCCTAGGCAGCTGTTGCATTTTCATCAGCCCTTATGGGCTGGTTGCTGACGAAATCTCAGCTTGAATTTAGAAAGACCACTTGGGATTTGTCAGCTTGCTTCATCTCTGACACCGACTGACAAAATATCCAACCATCTGTCAAAGCACGAGTATCCTGCATTGTAGTCTGTCTTTTTCTGTTATACAGGTGTAAGGTGTGGCCACTAAAAGTAAAGATATGAAGAAACTTTAGATTTTTAACCTCAGGTGTCTTTGCAGCAGAGCTCACGTATGGTGGAATCGACATGTTAGCTGTGAACTAATTGTAAACAAGACAATAAGGCATAAAAGTGCCAAGTCGACAAGTTAAATTCGACTATTTACTTCATAAAATGATCTTTTCAATCAAAATCTTTGATGGTTTGCTCAAATTTCCACCACCGAAATCTCACAAACTTATCTGTTTGATTTCACTTTCTAGAGCATTTGCTGAGAATGACACTGACACTCAAAGTAAACTAAACATTTTTTAATCAGCAGTAGTTCAGTAGGCATACAGTGTTGTAATCGATGAGGTCTACTTTAAAAATAAACAAAAACTTCATCAAGATAAAATTAAGCACCAATAAAGGCTTTCATCTAGAGGCTAGTGCAAAAACGTAGAAATGTGTCTAAAGGAAACCAAACCTTTCCTCAAACAAAATCATGGTCATAGCTATAGGTTCAAAGTTCCGTTGAAATACCAATGCTGACACCTGAAAGATAACCCGATTCTACTTATAAAGGGATTTGTGTGACTTTCATGTTCACTATAGAATGTTTGTCCATATTTCGAATATCACGACTTTCTTATATGTTACAAAAGTAAGCATAATACTTCCCAGCCAGTTTCCCTGTGTAGTTGTCTTCTCGCATTTATTGTCTTTAAGTCTCATAGCCCTGATCGACTTTCCGATGCAAAGTGACATTTAAAAAGTAATCATTATAGGAATACCCTATGTTTAGTCGAAATCGATTTCAACTAAACTAAAATTAAGAGCTACATCTAGCTCAATTTTAATAACTTTTATAAGCTGAAAAACCTGAAAAAGCGAAAAGACTAAATTGATGGACAGAGAAAAACAACAGAAAATTCTGCATTCAACATCAAAAAACATTCAACAAGTGTCGCACTCTGTTTGAAAAGGGGAGTGACTTTTCCCATTCCGCTAGATTCTTGTTATTTTTTGTGTTTATACATCAAAGGCTGTTGTATTTTTGCTCTGGTCGGAATATCATTCAAGTAAAGTAAGACAGAAAGTTTTACTGGGTGAATTTCTGCAGTTTCTGCTTCATGGTGGGCCAAAAGTGTCGTAAAAATGCTTGTGGTAGGGCCGGGTGCCACTTGACAGTAGCCTCTGGTATGCAGTGTAGCGAATTTAAGAGTTGGTTCCACGATAACTGCACATGCCTCACACCCTCAGCATATAAAAGGTACAGCAACACAGGAAGTGTCTGGTTTTGTGCATTGTGCTGCTCGGATGTTCGAACTCTAGTAGAAGAAGCAAAAACACTTCTAAATACGATAACTAAGAAACTGTCGTCGGAAGTCAAAGCCAACAACTGTGAGTGATAACAACGCAGCATCCATTGACACACAGATTGCTGTGCTAAATTTTAAGAACGCCCCATGACAAGCTGTAAGTTGGGTGCGTAGACTACCTACTAGGTTTGCTGACAGCGACTTGGAAAAAACTACACGAAGCAGGGGAAGCAAGTATCTTCCGGATTTCGCATTCTCATAGCTGGCAGACCCGGTCTGAAAACTGCTGAGCGTAAGACTAGGTCTACTTCAAATGAAAGAAACAGGAGTGAAGTGCTCTCGGTTCCAACGACGGAACCATGCAGACTACAGGTCATACCCAGTTCAACGACCCAGTCATTGACGAAACTCACACAGAATGGGATGGAAGTCAGTGATAAGGCTCTCAGTGTCAAGGTCACTGGAATAGGCTTCAGTAAACCTTCCATACCCGACTCTGAAAAATGGCAAGTAACTGAGTCTAAACGGCATGCTAAGAAGTCAACAACGGCAACCGAGCCAGCTATCATCACTCCACATAGCAAAGACAAAGTAGAGATCCTTGACAGATCCGTAATTTTCCACAGGGTGCAAGAAAGTAGAGACCTAGAACCGCATAAACGTTTTGAACATGACCTTGGCAAGGTACAAAGTTTGATAAACCAGCTCTTACCAGAAAACATGCCAGGAGCCACCCTGCTCAAGATATATAGAGTAGGAAAGCAGGAAACATTCATTACTGAAAATAAGTTTCGTCTACTTAAAGTCGTTTTCAAGTCAGCAGATGAGAGGAATCAGATTCTGAAGAATTCTCACAGACTTCAAGGATCTAGGGTGTTCGTGAGAAAGGATCTGGCTCTTGTCGATCGAACCAAAAAACGAGAAGCAGAAGCAGAAGCAGAAGTAAGATCCAGATTAGCATCTGGACAGCAACATCTGAAAGTAGTAGGTTTTTGTGTGGTGAGTTTTCGGCAACAAATGATGCCGAAACCTCTATGAATAGTAAGGAAACTCATTTAAGTAGTTGCATTGTCTTGTACACAAATGTACGTAGTCTTTAAAACAAGTGGACTGAGCCTAGTAATGTGATAAGCAGCGAAAGCCCTGAGATCATTGCTATCTCAGAAACTTGGTTATCTACTTGGATCAGTGACTGTGAAACACATTTACAAGGATTAGTCTCTTTTAGAAGTGACGGGTTAGCACGCAAAGGTGGTGGTGTCATCCTTTACGTTAAGAATAGCTTAACTGTAAAAGCCGTAGAAACAGTTGCACATGAAAGTGGGACATGTAAAATGCTGCGCTGCCGACTAAAATGCAAGGGGCAAAATGTTAACGTAATCGTAATATATCGAAGCCCTGAGTGTGAGGCAGCAGACTTTCTCCTAAGTAAGCTGACCCTCTGAACAGATTAATGTCTAGTTGTAGGAGACTTCAAAGCATCACTAGTTGACTGGGATAGACTAACAACAAAAGCACCACGTGATTTGTTTGACCACGGGTTAGTGGAAACATCACTTTCCTTAGCCCTCATACAGCACATTAGGACACCAACCAGATATGATCATCAGCATGCTCCATCAGTTCTCACACACGGATGATGCATGCCACATCCAGCAGCTAGCACCCCTTGGTAAAAGTGATCACGTTGTGATCATCTTCAGATTCACAGCAGACTTTTGTACCAGGCCGATGCCCCAGCTAGCTCTAACATATGGAAAGCTAATATGAAAGCTATTAACCTGGAAGCCTCTTTGGAGAACTGGACAGTCATTCCAGAAGCCTCAGTTGAAAATGCGTGGTGCTCCTTCAAACAGTTATATGCACGAGTGACCCAGCTGCTCATTGCGTGGTCTGTCCCGAGGGGATGGAAACACCGTCCTACGTGAATAAACCAAGAATTCCGAATATTACCACGACGTAAGAAAAAGTGTTTGAGTCTTACCACCCACCTCGGTACACACGAAGTGGTGAAGCATTACAAAGAAGACCGCAATAAATGTATTGCTGCTATCTGCCGGTCTCGAATATGCTTTGAAACGCGTCCTGCCCAGGCTGCACTGCAACATCCGAAGAGGTTATTTTCCTATATGAACTTTAGAAATAAGATGTGTCGTGGTATACCCGCCCTTATCAATGGGACCGAAACTGACTCTTTGGTTGAGGATGATGTGGAAAAAGCAGAAGCCATGGCTGGATATTTTGCTGAGGTTTTCACACAGGAATCCTCTGTGAACACTTATCCAAGAGTAGAAGCATTGATATCCAACAGAATAAAACTTGTGAATGTCGATCGTAATGATATACTTCGGACATTAAGTACTCTCGATGTGAAAAAATCAACGGGACCGGATGAGCTGCACTCTATGTAGCCGACCCATTGACTACTATATTCAGACTCACTCAGTGAAGGCGTACTCTCTTATGACTGGAAGGATGCCATAATTACACCTATCCACAAGACAGGTTCTAGGCAGCTCCCATCAAACTACAGACCGATAAGTTTGACTAATACCGTAGTGAAAATCCTAGGAAGAGTAATCGAGAAAGCCATCATAGTCCACCTAGAGAGCAACACTCTATTGTCTCTTTCATAGCACGGTTTTCGTAGAAATTTCTCTTACTTGACGAACCTCCTTACAGCCAGAGAAAGTTGGGTTAAGTCTTAAGATGATAGGATACCTGTAGATGACATTTTCATTGACTTTAGTAAGTCGTTCAACAAAGTACCTCAT